TCTTCCTATTTTAAAGTCCTTAACCTTAGTCACATTGGCAAATTCTCTTTTGCCATGCAAAATACCATTCACAGATTCCAAAGATTAGGATGAGGTCCTGGGGGGAAGGGGGAAAGAACGGCATTTTTCTGCCTACCCTGTGCTAAAGAGGTAAAGATTTTTTAAAACAAGATAAAAAAACAGAAGTGTGAGCTCGTGGTACAAGGTAGGTCTTAGGTTATCTTCAGAATCACTTTATCTTGATCCTGGAGGTTGATGCAGGTGTTTATCTGATATAAGCGGTTTCCCAGAGTAGGTAGAAGGGAATCCTAGACATTGAGAATGCTAGGTCTGGCCTTTCTTTTTAGCTCAGGGATAAGAAAATATAGCTTGTGTAATTCCATGTGTATCTTCTGTGAGATCACGCACCAGTCGCTGAAAACACCCTCGCTTCTGGGCCAGAGGTTTTCATCCCCATCCCATGGAACTCTCTGCCTTGCTAGGAATCCTTTACAGTGGTTCTCAACCTTCCTAATGCCACGACCCTTTAATATAGTTCCTCATGTTGTGGTGACCCCCAATTTCATTGTTACAAATTGAACATAATTAAAGCATAGTGATTAACCACAAAAACAATATGTAATTATATATGTGTTTTCCGATGGTCTTAGGTGACCTCTGTGAAAGGGCCGTTCGACCCCCCAAAGGGTCGAGACCCACAGGTTGAGAACCGCTGCTTTAGAAAGTCAGTTATGCTTATTTTGCTTTCAGCTCATCTTCCGCAGTAACAACATTAGGGAATGGAATTCGGGGCATTAACAGAAGTGAATGAGAGAAGACACTAAAACTTTCCCAGACTCCTCTCAAAAAAGATGAAAATAATTTCTATTTTTCAGATCCCCCATAAACTTAGGATCTGAACTCCAGTTAGATGGCTTTGAACTCTTAATATAGGAATGACAAAAATGTATTCATCAGCCCTGGTGCCTGATGATTAGAGCGTCGTCCTGTACAACAAAAGGTTGTAAGATGTTTCTCTCTCACATCAATGTTTCTCTCTCTATAATCAATAAACATATCCTTGGGTGAGGATTTAAAAAATGTATTCACCCAGTAAGCATTTATTGGGCACCCACTGCATGCAAGACGACCAGTCCGAAGATCTCTGAGAGGAAGTGGCAGGGTGTTGCCCTAATCAACAACAGTGTCGGAGCCAACTCCGTGTTCTTTTGAAAGGGCTGGTCTTGTTGATTTGGAGTTGGTGCACCTCCCACGATTGTTCAATGATAGACAGGAACCGGAGTCTCCCTGGAGTGATGGCCCTTAGTCAATTAATTATTCAAAAGATTGTTTCCACGTTCTAGCAGGAGGAAAAAAGACACTGTCCTTTGACTTTTTCTTTGCTTTCTTAGGCACAGCATTTCTTTCTGGCATGCTCTGACAGAGAAAGGAAACAGGTTTTGTTATGAAGAGGGTTGAAAGTGTTGCATTCCAGTGCTTTCCACTCTGGTGGCTGATTCTGATAAGCAGATTTGGGAAACGTTGTTGGAAAAAAAAAAGATTTTTCCTCATCATCTGTTAAAATATTGTGTATGACTTTTCTCTTCATTAATCTAATAGCATCTTTGATTTGAGCAGTTTTCCTTCATGGGGGGATCTTTTCAGTTCTGGCTGTTGCTGTGGGCTGGACTGGAAAAAACACGCCTTGGTTATGTCTTATTTTGTGGGTACTTAACCTCTCTAAAGTTTTGATTTCCATATGGGGGGATGAGTAATATCCACCTATATTAGTCAAGGCTCTTGGTTTATAACAACAGAAACCAAGTACACATTTAATCACACACTTGAGGAATAAAGGATTTTACTAAAAGGGTACTTATTGGATAGCTCATGGAATCTTGAGAAAGACAAATGCATAGGAACAAGGGCAGCCAGGCAGCTGCCAGGACCACGAGGGAAGTAAGTTACCAAGCTGATCTGGCGGAGATAGCAATGCCCTGTAGCTGGATGTTGATTGCTGACATTGGATACTGGATGCTAGCTGACACTCAAGCCCTCTCTGCTCATGAAAAATCAGGATTGCTGCCCTTCTGCCCTGCAACTGGTGCAGTGGGTTCTCTGTAATCTCTGCTTTTTTAGTTAGGTATTTAGTTAAAATACCTTCCAATGCAGTGTGTCTGCTTGGAGAACTTAGGTCATCTGCTGTTCCTTAGCAGCAAAGGAGTCTGGGAAAGCAAATATGTAGTATTTCAGCTTCAACAGTGAGAAAAAGCATGACTATTCAACTTTTTAAAAAAAATTCTTTAATAAAACCAGCTCATCTATTTCTATCTGGTTCTGATAGAAATTTGATTCAGAATTTGAATCTATCTTTATCCACAGAAAGTTGCTTAGACTGGGCATAGATTCTCTATTGTGTCAATTTCTCATTGACAGGAACTCACTCCTGCTTGCTGTTCTATGTTGGTGTCTGAATTAGTTCTGCCTGTTTAGTTTAAATTTATGATATGTATAAAAGAATCAGCAGAAATGAGAAAATACTGTTTTGTCTCCCCAGCTGGATCTGAGATCAGAATGAAATGGTCATGACGTTTCTAGTCACAAGCTGCATTGAAACTGGAAGCCCCAGAGGCATAGTTATTTGCTTGGGAAAATTATCTTCATCTGTTGGCTTCCATACACAACAAAAGAATGTCACCACTCATCGTTCCTTCTGCGTGATTTGCGTGACTTGTGATCCCTTCACATGTATATACATGCATTAATTCATTCATTAAACATTTTCTGAGTTCCTAGTACGTACTGAATAGGATGTGAGGCTCTGGAAACAAAGTGATGGAAAGACTTGGTTCTTTTTTTTTTTTTTTTTTTTTTTTTTTTTTTTAAATATATTTTATTGATTTTTTACAGAGAGGAAGGGAGAGGGACAGAGAGTTAGAAACATCGACCAGCTGCCTCCTGCACATCTCCCACTGGGGATGTGCCCGCAACCCAGGCACATGCCCCCGACCAGAATCGAACCTGGGACCCCTCAGTCCGCAGCCCGACGCTCCATCCATTGAGCCAAACCGGTTTCGGCAAGACTTGGTTCTTGAACTTCAGGCTGTCACAGTCTAATAGGTAAGACAGATGTATACGCAAGCAATTGTAGTGCAGTGTGGTAATTAATGTCTGTACAAAGGAAAGCCGTGGCTCAAAGAAGAAAATGGTTAACTGTAGTTGGGGGGAGGGTGGGTGGATTCAAACCAGCTTCACAGAGGAAGAGAGACTTGAGCTGAATCTTGAAGGCGAACATGTGGGCATTTCAGATAGAGTCATGCACATGTGCAGGCATGAAGGCATGACGTAGCTCGATGCTTTGGAGAACTGTAGGTGGTTTGGAGCGTAGAGTGGGAGAGGGATGGCAGGAGATGAGGCTGGAGGGGTAGGCCAAACCCAGAGCTTGGTGGGCCTCTGATGCCCTGCGGAGGAATGACCACTTCATCCTAAAGGCACTAAAGAGCCATGGATGTGATTTAAATGGGGCCGATTTGAATTTAGAGCAGTTATTCTAAAAGCAAATTGTCTGATCAATTGGAAGTGGCAGTGAGGGTGAAACAGGGTGAAATTGGAGTGAGAGTGTCCAACAGGGCAGAGAATATTGCAAAGGTCCCCATGAGAGAAGCTGGCAACACCCATCTTTGACTCCATGTCTATTCAATAGGACGAAGGTATTGTAGCTGTACTAATAAGGAATCCCAATTCTTATCAGATCACTTCAGTTTCTTAAAATAAAATAGTACCTCTGGCAGGGTGGCAGAGGCAGCTGTAGATCATCAGAGAAGCATTCAAGTTCCCTCTCACGGTGTAGAGTGGTCAGGAAGCAGATGCCCAGCCAGGAGCGACATTAGCAAGCCCCCGACCGCGCTGCCTGGCGGGCCCTGTGCCTAGTTCTCAGCCAGGAATATAAATGAAAGGGACTGTTTACTCCGGGGCTAAAGTGGTGTAATATCAGATGTGAGCTCCTTCGCACTCTGTTCTCCCTCCCTACCTCCTCCCCCTCCCTGGTGACCGGAAGTCCAAGTCACCACTTCAAGGAGAGCTGCCAGACCCGATTGGACTTATTGTGCTGTTTCTCTCTGATGCAGCCTGTCTGTTCTGTTGCCAAATTACGGGAATTTGTTATTGGACTCTGAGGACTTGTTGCTAAATGAGTAAGGCTCTAAATAAGTTCATAAATTATGACTGATTTTGATATTATGATATTATCCATAGACCTATGTAGTTTGTGTTCTATTTATTGAAAGCTAGCCCTGTGGTTTCTGGAGTTGGAGGTTGGTCTATTCTCTACTCCACAGAGTGACTCTGGTAGCAGCCAGAAGGAAGTTGAAACACATCATCTCATGCAGCTTCTCTGAACAGTTCTGCCAGTTGAGCTAAGTTATGCTATAACTTGTTTTGAGCACTGTTTTGGTTCTTCTTTCCTTTTCATTTCCACAAATATTTTTGGCACCTACCATGTTCCAGGGCTAGTCATAAGTCTTACTTTGTGCCTGGAACTGTGCTAGATGGTCTGGTGCAGTAATAAAGAAGAAAGATGGTCTGTGCCCTCCTGCCACTTAGAGTACTGGTGGAGGCAGAGAATTAAGGAAGCTTTTACAAAGTGACATAAGTGCTACCTTTAGGATGCCTTGAGAGCAGATAGAAGGAGCATAAAACCTGAACTTGGGAATTTAGGAGGGCTTCCTAGAGGAAGTGACATTTAGGCAGATATGTCAGGGTAGAGTAGGAGTTAGTCAGGTGAAGAATAAGAGACAGAGTATTCTAAGAGGAGAAAGATAGTATGTACAAAGGCCTAGAGGAGGGAGAACATGAAGGCGCTGTAAGAGGCTCTGTGCACCTTGAGAATAGATTGTAAATTGGGAAGTGGCAAAGGCTAATGTTGGAAGAGGAAGTAGGAGCCCAATGATGGAGGGAATTGTAGACCATATAAGGGTACTGTCTTCGATTGGGGTACCCAAAAGCAGAAACTGAGGCAAGGGTTTGGGTGGAAGTAGTTTATTTGGAACGTGATTCCAGGAAGTGTGGTGAAGGAAGGGGGAAGTAAGACAGAGAAAGGAAGAAAATCCATAAAGGGCACTGCTCTGGGCAGCTGAAGCTCCGTGCCCCTGGAGACCCCTAAGAGACTGTGTAGGACTTGCCTCTTAGTTATCATATTGACTTGAGGCACAAGGCACATCTATCCAGCGCCCTTGTTCCTCATTGGTTGAGGTTGCGACTGGGGCCAGCTCTAGCTCCTCAGAGAATGCCCTCAGGGGATGTGGGCAGGGCACTCACAGCATCCCCCAAGTGTCTAAACTTTGTCCTAAGAACAAATGCAATTTATTACAGGGTTTTCAGGAATGCATTTTTTAAAAAAAATATATTTTTATTGATTTCTACAGAGAGGAAGGGAGAGGGATAGAGAGCTGGAAACATCGACCAGCTGCCTCCTGCACACTCCCCACTGGGGATGCGCCCACAACCAAGGCACATGCCCCTGTCCGGAATCGAACCCGGGACCCTCGAGTCCACAGACCGACGCTCTATCCAATGAGCCAAACCGGTCAGGGCAGGAATGCATTTTAAAAAGCTCACTTTGGCTGAATAGAGAGGATTGATTGTAGTGGGGCAGGACTGAAGTAGATTAGTTATTTTAATACAATTTCCTTTCTACTTGAATAAACCTGAGTGAATTTTGTTGATTGAAACCAAGAACATCCAAAAGATCAGCTTTTTTTTTGTTGTTGGGTGGACTAGGGTGGGGAAGATGATGAGTATAGTTTTGTTTTTTAAATAGTTTTAGACTCAGAGCAGAATTGAGTGGAAAGTACAAAGATTTCCCATATACTCCCTGCTCCCACACATACACGGACTTCTCCCCATTATTAACATCCTCCCCAACAGAGGGGTACATTTGTTATGATTGATGAACCTCATTGATGTATCATTATCACCCAGAGTCCATAGTTTACATTAGGGCTTTGGGTGTTGTACATTGTTTAGGTTTAGGAAATTTATACTGACATGTATCTACTATTATGGTATCATTCGGATTAGTTTCACTGCCCTGAAACACATCTGTGCTCAACCTATTTATCTTTTCCTACCCCCTACCCCTGGCAACCACTGATCTTTTTACTGTCTGTATAGTTTTGCCTTTTCCAGGTCATATAGTTGGAATCATACAGTATGTAGTCTTTTCAAACTGTCATCTTTCACTTAGTGATATACATTTAAATTTCCTCTAAGTCTTTTCATAGCTCAATAGCTCATTTATTTAGATCTGAATAATATTCCCTTATTGGATGTACCACAGTTTATCTATTCACCTACTGAAGGACATCTTGGTTGCTTCCAAGTTTTGGAAATTATGAATAAAACTTCTATAAATAAATAGATAAATAAATCTGCATCCACATGCATGTTTTTGTGTGGACATACATTTTTTCAAATCCTTTGTATATTAATCTTGTGTCCTGCAACCTTGCTGTAATTAATTGTTAATTTCAGAGTATTTTGTTTTTGTTTGTTAATTCCTTTGGATTTTCTGCATAGATTATCATGTCATCTGTGAACAAAGACAGTTTTATTTCTTCTTTTCTAATCTGCATACCTTTTATTTCCTTGTCTTATTGCATTAGTTAGGACTTCCAGTATGATGTTGAAAAGCAGTGGTAAGAGGGTACATCCTTGCCTTATTCCTGTTCTCAGTGGAAGAGCTGCTAGTTTTTCACCATTAAGTGTGATATTAGCTGTAGGGTGCTACATTTTGTCAAATGCTTTTTCTGCATCTATTGATATGATCATATGCTCTTTATCCTTCATTTTGTTTATGTGGTGTATCACATTAATTGATTTGCAGGTATTGAACTAACCTTGCATCGCAGAAATAAATCCCACTTAACCATGGTGTATGATCTCTTTAATGTATTGTCCATTTTTAAAAAAGAATAGTTTATTGATTTTTAGAGAGAGAAAGGGAGAGGCAGAGAGAGAGAGAGAAACATCCAAGTGAGAAGGAAATATCAATCAACTGCCTCCTACACGCCCCCCAGACATTGAGCTGGCAATCCAGGCATGTGTCCTAACCAAGAAACAAACCGAACTGACAACCTTATGGTGCACAGGACGACGCCCAATCAACTGAGCCACACCAGCAAGGGCTGTGTAGTCCATTTTAATAAAAGAAAAGCAGTAGCCCTAGCCGGGTTGGCTCAGTGGATAGAGCATCGGCCTGTGGACTGAAGGGTCCTGGGTTCCATTCTGGTCAAGGGCATGTACATAGGTTGCAGGCTAACTCCCTGGCCCTCGTCAGGGTGCGTGCGGAAGGCAACTAACCGATGTGTCTCTTTCACATTGATGTTTCTCTCTGTCTTCCCCTCCCTTCCACTCTGTGTAAAAAGTCAATGGAGAAATACCCCATGGGGTGAGGATTAACAAAAAATGAATAAAATGAAACTTTTAAAAAAAGCAGGAAAGAATCAATGTAGGTTATTTATTATGTTATTTAATCTTTACAAACATCTCTGGGCTGGAAATGGTTTTTCCTAAATTTCAAGTGATGTAATGGAGGTCCAGAAATGTTGAATAAAACTTGCTCAAATTCACAAAGAAGAACCCAGGAAATACCCAATTTCAAAGTTGCTCTGAACCCCAGCTCTAATGCTCATTTCCCTGCGATATTTTAAAAGCTTAAGTTCCCCATAGAAAGTGGCCTAAAAGTGACTGAAATTTAGTTGTGTCCCTGTTTATGACTTCATAAGCCAGATTGGGAAAAGATTTATTGGAAGAAACATGTGGTACCATTTGCTAGAGATGTAGTAAAAGAGGCTGCCCTTCATTAATGTTTGACTAACTCAGTACCAAAGGTCTGACTTCTCTTCCCGAGCAAGACTTTGCTAGAATAAACAAACTCGCCTTCTGTCTCTGTGTGTGGGTGAGAAGCACCAACATGCATATTTTGTATAATTATCTCCTTATTCCTCCCAGCAATCCTGCCACATGGATAATTGGGTCTGTGTTACAAATGAGAAAACTGAGGCTCAAAGAGGTTAAGTACCTTGTCTAAGGCCACAGAATAGGAGTGAAGTAAGAATTAAACTCAAGTCTTTCTGACTCCAAAGCGCTTGCTCTTTCAACAAAGCATTGCTTCATGTAGTTTGGAGGTATGAAGGGACCTGCTGGTTGGCAGATGAATTGTGAGGCTTTGTAATATCCCCTGGCATGTAACCTACCAGGATTTTGTCTTTTTCCTTTCAACTTCCTAAACTTAAATTGATAAAAAGTTGTAGGACTATTTTTTTAATATATTTTATTGATTTTTCACAGAGAGGAAGGGAGAGGGATAGAGAGTTAGAAACATTGATCAGCTGCCTCCTGCACACTCCCTACTGGGGATGTGTCCGCAACCAAGGTACATGCCCTTGACTGGAATCAAACCCAGGACCCTTGAGTCCGCAGGCTGACGCTCTATCCACTGAGCCAAATCGGCCAGGGCTAGGACTATTAATAGTCGATATTTACTTGGTGTTAACTCTGTATAAGCATTATTCTAGATATAATAACAATCCTAGAGCAAACTTATGAGGTGGTTCTATTATTGTCTCCATTTTACATAGGAGAAAACAGTCACTGAGAGTCCGAGTAACTTGCTCAAGGTCACACAGCATGTAAATAGCAAAGCCAGAACTTGAACCCAGAAAGTTTGGTTTCTGAGTCTGTGCTCTTACACAACGGGTGCGGACTGTCGGTCTCTGATTAGGATAATCTGATTTTGTGACTTCTTTCCTGTCTACTCAATTTAGTTATTTGACTAAAGACTTTTGAGTCAGACCTGGATATGACTCACAGCTCTATCACTTCAAAAGCAATGTGACTTTGGACAAATTACTTAACCTCTTGACAGCTCCATTTCTTCATTTGTAATATGGGGACAATAAGAATACAGTACTCGCCCTGACTGGTTTGGCTCAGTGGATAGAGCGTCAGCCTGCGGACTAAAGGGTCCCGGGTTCGATTCCAGTCAAGGGCATGTACCTTGGTTTCAGGCACATCCCCAGTAGGGGGTGTGCAGGAGGCAGCTGATGTATCTAACTCTCTCTCCCTTCCTCTCTGTAAAAAATCAATAAAATATATTAAAAAAAAAAAAGAATACAGTACTCAACTCAGAGTGGTTGTGAGAATTAAATGAGATAAAACACTTTAAGAGCTCAGCAGAATGCCTGGCCAATAGAAAAATGGGCAATAGATGTTATCTATTCCTATCAATACTTCATAAAGTTGGCAATAACAGTTGAGCACAGGTCTGCTTGACTCCAGACCTGGACATTATCTGCTGTACCAACTATCTCCCAAGTGTCCTCATCATGGTGTTCCACAAACCTCTCCTCCAATTTTTGTGTTCTTGTTAGTGGACCTCGAAATCTCTGTCCACTCAACCAGCTCCTTTGATTTCTCCCTCTTCCTGTCTCACTGTGATGAGTTGTTAATGCTGAGAAAGCAAACCTCCACCAGACTGAGAGCTGGAGGCTAGTGGAGCAGGGAATGAAGCAAAAACCTGGTCCATGAAGTGTAAGTGGAGGCCACAGGCATGGCCAAGGTCACATGCCTGACCCGTAGTGTTGCCAAAAGATCCCAGAGGGAATATGCAAGGTCTGTGGGCTAATAGATGAGGGTCAGGATTTGGCTTAGGCAAATCCTTGTATATAATGACTCATTGCAGTCAAGTGTCTTTTGGAAGTCTGCCAACCCAGCCCTAGGAGTCAAGCTTGCATAGATTTTGAAGTGTGTCTAATACTTATATTTTCCATCCATTTTTAATTAGTCATTGAGTCCTGTTACTTTTTGTAAAATTGATTTCAGAGAGGAAGGGAGAGGGAGAGAGAGACAGAAACATCAAAGATGAGAGAGTCATTGATTGGCTGCCCCCTGCCCGCCCCACATTGGGGATCGAGTCCACACCCAGGCATATGCCCTGACCGACTGGGGATCCAACTGTGACCTTCTGGTTCATAGGTTAATGCTCAACCACGTCGACTGGATGGCATCTGTTTTTTTATATCCCCCACAAAACTGTGCTTGGTGTCATTCACATAGTAGCCCTCATAAATGAATTTCTATTCACAACTACCCCTCTGGGATTAAGAACTGGAGAAGGTACTGGAACAACCACTTTCAAATTGGTCAAATCATGAGAGAGAGAGGTGTATATACTTACCTTTGTTCTCCCACTGAGATGAGTTGGGTAGAAAAGTATCAAATCACAGGCAGTTGGCTCATGATCAAGGGATTTGGACAAGGGAATGGATCCAAGAAAGAAATGTATTTTTCAGGGTCAGCTCTGCAGCATGCTGGAAACTGACTTTCTGCACTACTATTCATGTTTCCTTCATAACTGGGTGTGGAGAGGGGCGGGATCTGCTGCCACAACTCAGCCATGTAGCAGAATGAGTGGAATTTTCCAGATGGTTCCTCTTGACGGCTGTTGGCATAATCACAGCTTTGCCCTCTGGGAGCTATTAGTCTGCGGCCCCTGAAAGCTAGACGGCTATTTCAGCAGGTCAGACTGTGGGATCTCTGCATTGCGTTGGCATGGAGAGCCATGTAGGATTTCAAGTCATAAATACCATTTTTCTTTTTCTTGTACTAGCTCCCTACTGAATGTTTTGAGAAGAGGCTAAAGTGAAGAAAGTGTGTTATTCTCCTTTCTCTCCCAGTGCCTTTTCCCCTCCCCACCCCCCGCCCCGCCCCCCCGCAATGATGTGTGACCTAGATGATTCCCTGGCATCGGACAGCTTTCTAAATGCCAGTGACTGGGGTCATCTTCTGGATATAACACATATCTTTAGAATTTTTTCAAATCTGCATACCGATCGTGAAAATGAATTGACACTTCCCCTCCCCTCCCTCCAGGGCCCTCTCTCTGGGATGGTTCTTTTGTTGTCAGGTAAAGGGGCTTGGAGTATGAAAGCTTGCTATGGATTTGGGGACATCTGAACCCATAATATCTTGGTGTTACAATTTCACCTGCTTATTTGTGAAGTGAACACCACTTTTATAATATCCAGTGAACACAGTTGCCCCAGGAGGCAGATGGTGTAAACGGAAGGGGTAAATCTGACTGGTACACGTGCTCATGAACAGAGAGGTGGTTTGCCTTGTTGCGATGGGCCAGTTTGTGTCTCTATAGCCTGTAGTTGTCAGAGGTTGTCTTTTAGAGCCTCCTGTCCTTAGAGATCATAGTTTCTTTAACCTACAGGTTGGAAGACTTCCCTTAAAACTAGCAATCATCACTATGGATATGGTGGATCAGCATCCAGCTCCTAGTGTGCAGGGGTTGGAAAATGTACAACTTCATTTCCCAGGCTCCTATGCAGTTAGGGTTTTGATATACCTGAGATTCTGCTAATTTGATGCACTTTCTTTCTTTCTTTTTTTTAGTATATACTTTTATTGATTTCAGAGAGAAAGAGAGAGGGAGAGAGAGATAGAAACATCAATGATGAGAAGCACTGATTGGCTGTCTCCTGCACATCCCACACTGGGGATCAAGCCCGAAACCTGGGCATGTGCCCTGAGTGGGAATCGAACTGTGACTCCTGGTTTATAGGTCAGTGCTCAACCGGTGAGCCACACCATGCGGGCCGGGCTTGATGCACTTTCTTGAGACTTGGATGTGGGAGCCAAATCCAGTGTAGAAAGGTGCAGGAAAATGGGTATTTGTATTTGCTAGTGTGGCTATGGGTCGTATGGTTCTGAAGTTGCCAGCTGTGGCAATGGTTTCCTAGTTCAGCAGGCAGCTTCCTGAGCCAGCAGCTCCCTCAACAGCTCAGTTCTATGGCATGGATTTGGGAGTCGATTCTGGACTTAGTGTCTTTAGCTAGCCAACTTCCCTCTTCCACTTAATATCTTGTAATAAATTCCTCTCCATTATAAACTTAATAGAATCCCATAGACTGCAAAGCTGAGTTGTTTTGTTCATATGATGGGCAAAATTAAATGGTTGGAATTTTATCTTTAACCTTAATTTTATTGGATGTATTTTCCCCAAAGCTAGTTTTGGGCTATCCTGTTCCCTTTTGCATGCTTTCCCATGTGATGGTACATGACCTTATGCTAGACTTTTCCCAAGAATTATGTTGATGTGTCCAATCATAAAAATAAATGTTTCCATCTTCATTGACCTATTTTATTGGAACAATTTCATGTACCAATTCATACATCCTCTCTCTATAAAAAGAGTATTATAATATTAATAAGCACCTAGCACATAATGCAGATATGCTGAAGCTTGTAGACAGGCACAGAAAGGCCTGGGAGAAAGTTTGCTCTTTATCAAGACATCAGTCCTGGCACTTCAACAAAAAAAGCACTACCCCACGATCTAAGTCATGCTAGTCTATTTCCTGACATTTCATGACAACTCAATAAATGTCAATGTAATGTTATTAAGGCATCACACTAGACTCTTTGTTTCTTTAGTTGCCTTATGGACTTACTTTTACCCTAGAGTTTACTGACACTTTGCTCTGAAAAATGGTCTCAGACATCTCAGGCATCCAAAGTGCTGGTTGGAAAGGCACGGATGTACCAGGGCAAGGCTGTGCTCAGTAACTGTAAAATTAGAATATATTCCTGAAGTGCCTTCTCTTCATCCTTGGAGTTTTGGTCCTTCGTCTAGACATAGCTACAAAGGCAGATCACTGAGAGTAGTAAGACTCCAAGCCGGGTGGGTAGTGTTTTCCCACTTTGGTGGTTCTGTGGCAAGAGCTTTGCAGTGTGCTGGCTGCCCAAGGGCATTCTGGTGTTTTTGTTTTTTTTTTAAAAAAATGTTTTTATTGATTTCAGAGAGAGAGGAAGGGAGAGAAGAGAGAGAATCATCGATCAGCTGCCTCCTGCAAGCCCCCTACTGGGGATTGAGCCCACAACCCAGGCATGTGCCCTAACAGGGAATTGAGAACTGTGACCTCCTGGTTCATGGGTCAATGCTCAACCACTGAGCCACACCAGCCGGGCTTGTTTTGTTTTCTTTGAAATGAAGTAGGGAACAAGCATTTCTGAAGAAGTAAACATTCTGCCTCAAATTAGGAACTAAAAAAAAACTTGTTTATTGGGGGGCAAGAGGATACAAGCAATATAAAAATCAAAAGCTTATCTGGCTTTATTGGCTTTTCTTTCTCTTGTTCAATGGGGGTGGCATTTTATTTGTACATTTCTTTAAGAGTCCCAATCTGCTCATGAAATTCTTAGACAGGGGGAAGCTGTGGGGCACATATTCCTTAAGGGACCCATTGGGAGAACTCTTATCAGGGCAAAGTAATTGCTCACTTCCTTCCCTTCTGCTTCATGTGTACTACGAAATAGTCATTGCATGCGATGGTGAGCCCAGCAATTAGCGAAAAGAAGCTCTGGAAGCCAACTCTGCCATCTCGGCACTGGTCCAGGTCCTTCATTATTTTGTCTACAGCCAGAGGGTCTTTTTGATTCTGAAAAACAAAAACAGAAACAAAAACAAAGGTAAGAAAGACCAGTCGGTGTTTGCAATGACTAACTTCTTTGATTTGTACTGCTGACCACCATGTATATAATCTCTCAATGATCAGAATTCTTGTTCTAGGTTATAAGTGATCTTTGGAGATCATCTAAATGGATTTTGCTGTCTTGAGGGAGCATTTCAGTAAATTGTTTAAATTTACTTTAAACTAAGAAAGAGGTTTCCATGGCATTTTTTTTTTCATATAATGATAGGGACCTTAGAAATGGCTTATTCTGTGCCAAGAGAAGGTAGACCCAAGCCTCCTAATTCTCAATCCACTGCTCTTGCCAATTAGAACCAGCATGGCTTTCTGACGTGTTTTGCTTCCAGTTCAATTATTCCCACCATTTTTAAAATCATGAGATTCTGCCTAAGAACCACCTGAAACTCCCCCATTTTGTAGTTTAAACTTACATTCTCTTAAACCTTTATTCCTGATAGCCAAGTCCTTTAAATATGAAACTCTTAGGAAAAGATCTCATAAGATTATTTAGGGAGTAAGTTTCAGATCACTGTTCTACGGACTTTAAGGAGGTGCTAATGATGTCATATGGTGTGCTAGGTTTGGAGAAGATAGGTAGATTGCCCTCATTTCTCAGCAGAGGGCGGGCCAAGCTTGTGTGGCTTCATATCCTATTAGCCACGTAACCTTGAGTAAGTCACTCTCAGCGAGCCTTCATGTATCAACTATGAATGGAGGAGGTTGGACTTAGAGGGTCTCTAACATGGCTTCCACTCTTAATGAGTTGGTAAATCTATGCCATCCTATACTCTTCACTGGATCCCTTCAAAAGGAATATGTGTGACAGAGTCATAAACTCCCCATTTCCTACACAAGCACTGCCAACTCCTACCCTAAGCAAGCAACTAAAACCTGCTCCATGCAGCCACCTCTACTTTCGGTGGGTTTCAGTCAGTTCTGGCCCCACCCCCAGCTTCCTGGCTGTGGTCAGAAGGAGTCAGTTTGGATGACAGAGGAGTCAACTTTAGAAACCAAATGCTCTGTGAATGCAGCGAGTGTGGGTGTGTCTGGCATTATGACTTCATGCCTGGCATAAATTACACGGCATGTTCAGTACTTGGTGCTACCAACACCCTTGATGTGTCTCATGCCAGAAAGCCTTTAGGGAGGAAGGGTCTGTATCTCATGTGATATTTATCCCGACTTCTAACTTATGCAACAACACGACTAATGAGTATTTAGTGCACTGAGAATGCCTTTGTTCACGTGATGGGCGGGCTTGCAGTAGACATATTTTGTCCTTGCATTTTATGGCTGCCTAGAAGAATCTCTGCAAGTGAAACTGACCTTGGAGATAATTACATCCAGCCCTCTCCTTTCACAGAGGAGGGAACTGAGGCCCAACCATCTAAAGCTGCCTGCCCAGTGTTAACTAACTCCTGGCCTGGGGTATAGCATAGGACTGTTCAAAAGCAGAGCAACAGCGCATCCTAACCCATTCTGGGATAGCATTGTGGTAACTGCAGCTCTGAGAGACTAGTTAGGCCACTTATATCTGTTTATTTAACTGGTATTGACATGTAAATCACAGTGTGCTACAAAACCCTGCATTGACTGGGTCAGGAGTCAGGGGCTTGGCTAATGTGGTATTGCCCAGGCAGAGGACAAGAGGCCTCTTACTATCATCTCCCTTCGCCTTGTAGAGGCTATTGCATTATTCCACACCACGCTCAGTAACGATCCTTTCAAGTGACTCCAGTTGTGGCAGGGAAAGGACTGGCATTTTCATCTAATATTTTGTCAAGCGATGTTTCACCTTCAGTGAAATGCAACAACTCTCTTGAGGGCCCGCAATGTAACAGGACAACTGTGCCTCGTGGCCTAATGCCCTGAGTGATGTATCTGAGCTGATGGCAGAGTCCTCTTCCAGTCTGCACGATCCCTCAGTCTGACGAAGGTGAGATATAAACTCAAGCTGTGCTCCCGTGTTCTCAGAGCATTTTCAGTATGAAAAGCAATGATTTCTGGAGCGATGCTTGGCTCTCAGCAGATGCGTGGCACCATTTCTTGAGTTTAGAATTGGGAAAAAGTTTTCAAAGCCTTTATCTGAAGGGATTTAAGAAGGGCGATTCAGGTTGCTCAAAGTGAATGTGACCAGGTGGCATGTCCAATGCCAGGTTTATGGACCTGAGGGCAACCGGGTAGCCTTGCTGGTGATCCTGGTGAAAGGCTTTCCCGCAACTCAGTGGATGCAGATGACTCTTTCTAGCAAACACCTCGTATTATAGTTATTTGTGTGCAGTCTTATTTCACTTCCCATTGTAAGCTCCTCGAGGGCAGGGGCTGTGTCTTCTTTACCTTGTTTCCCCTACAGTAGCTTACAAACAGCAGGCACTCAATAATGTTCAATAAATAAGTGAGTGAAAACACCTTTCTAATAGGGACCTCCACAGGGAAGGGGTGGAAAGAAGAAGGGAAAGGAACCAGGGCCTAGAATTTCATGTCTGGTTCTTTCTGAGTCTTTCAATACTTACTTCCAAAAATCCAGGGAACTCCTTTTCCATGAGTACTCTTAGGTCCTCCTTTGTTAAGTAGCCTTTATCCCCAGCAAACTTATGAAACGTGAACATCATGGTTTCCATGGCGTGTTCCATTTGAGACGGCATTTTGGTGAGGTCTGTTGAAACATATTAAAGGATGTAAAGAAACAGAGTTTACACTAACTTTTTTTTTTTAAGTTTTTTTTTTATAGATTTTTAGAGAGAGAGGAAGGGAGAGGGGGAGAGAGAAATATCGATGTGAGAGAGACAGATAGATTGACTGCCTTCTGCACACACCCCTTCTCATCCCCCCCCCCCCCCCACACACACACAGGGGAGTGAGCCCACAACCTGGGCATGTGCCCAGACTGGGAATTGAACCAGCAACCCTTTGGTGCACGGGATGGTGCCCAACCAACCGAGCAACACCAGCCAGGGCTACATTAACTTTTAAGCTGTAAGTATTGCCAATCTTTTGAGAATAATTGGAAGGAGGGTGATTAGATCATTCACTTGATTCTTTCCAGCTGCAAAATTCAGTCTAAGAACCAATTCACCCCTGGTTTTGGGCCTCCTGCTGATGGAAATAGGCACCACAGGTATTGATGCTCTGAATGAGGGATTCATCTAGTTGCCCACGATTTCTGCATAAATCACGGAGTGAAAAGTAAGACCTCTAATCATTTGGAAAGGCAAGATCAGTATCCCTCTTCTTAATGGACAAAGCAGCTATTGAAAGAATATATGTTTCATCATTTCTCTTGGCGCTGGTAAATGGGACTCTCAGATATGGTGGAATACCAACAACCCACACAGTCAAGCCTGGTGAGTAGGGCAACTTCAGCCCTCCAAGCACAACTGGTAACCTGGTTCAGTCTAATCCTAAGGCTTAGAAATCTGCTTACGAATGAATTCGACCTGCTGGGTCTGTCTTCTCTACTAAAGCTTTGAACTTGTGAGTGATTGCAACGAAGACATTTATTTGCATCTTTGGTAGTAAATGCACTTGTCCTACCTGAATAAAAGCTACCCAAAGTTCATCATCTAGTTCCTTGAGAAGAAGTAACAGTATATCCTAACCCCTTTGGGGACCTGATATATTTTGGGCAGCGAGAACGGAAGAGTTACTTTCACAGTCTGGGGTGCAGTGGGAGAGCAAGCGCTTTCATCGTAAAGAGTTTAAAAGAAAGAAAACATGTCAGATTATATTCAGGTATAATGATCTGGGGGGTACATGTCTCATTAAGACCCAATGCTTAGTACTTGATAGAAGCTCAATGGATTTTGACTTCTTTGGAAGGAATGCTTTGGCCAGAATAGAGCAGCTCTGGCTAACATCACCTAACGTCACTACTGGGTAGGAAACAGGTGAACTTGAATGGAGGCTGTTACATACCGTTCCCTAAAACAGCAACAACAAAACACAAGAACAGGTTCTGCGCACAAGTTGAAGAGGCTCGCACCTTCCCTTGCTAGAGTGTGGCCAATAGGAACCTGAGAAAGGCTTTTTGATCTGGTTTCTGCTGCTGACAGGTGTGTTTCCAAAACAGACCCCTAAATGCTATCTTTTACAGAGAAGGTGGGGTTGGTGAACATGATGATTGAGCAATTACACTTAAGAATAGTAAATTCTACCCCTGAACACCCAGAAAAGTACGTGAACCAGCATGCCAAAGAATGTGCTACTCTAACGAGTGCTATAAACCAGAGTGGGGCATGATTCATCTGGAAGGCGGTTCTCTTGGAGAGAGCAGCAAATTAACGCTCAGGGTCCGCTGTGAGATGAATTCCACGGGACCAAACACACCCTTTCCCCTCTCTTCCTACGCAGTCGGGTCTGGCTCGTCCCCATCTCCCGTACGGCTTCAGATGGCCGTGGGCTGGCTTAGCTGGAGTCAGCCTGGCCTGGATGAGTTACTGAAGGCCAGCAACTTCAGACTCAACTGAGTGAGTCACCTATGGGAGAAGGATGTGGGATCCCATTCCAGTTCTGAAATAACTCAGGAAAGGTTTAAAAATACCTGGGCCCAAGCTCAGAAACAGTAGAGTACAGAGTGTAGAGCACAGAGCCCTTCATGACGAATTCCCAAAGATCCCAGAAATTGGAACGGGCTGTGGGACACCCGGTTCCCTTTCTTCACGGGGCAGAGCAGAAGGAAAGTGCCCTGCAAAGCCAGAGTGAGGCCCTAAACTGGGAACCAGGCGAATTTAGGAACTTCTGAGAGAAATGGGTGGGAAGCTGAGGAAATTTTGGCCACCCTTGAATATCTTCCTCAAGAGGGTGAGGACAGTCTGCCCTTAGTCGGCACTGAGGTTTCAGGTCCCAATCCCACCCCCTCCTCATCTGTGCTCCTCACGAAGGAACAGAGCAGAGCATTCCTCTCTGAAGCCACATCCCTGCCCCACTGGACCCCTCCCCCCTCTCTTTCTCTCCTGTGTGTTCAGCACATGGGTTGTAAATACAGCAGCCGGCTGACGATTTGTCTAGCATTTGCCATAAGAATGAAGAGCAGCGACTAGCCAGGAGGTGTAAGGTCCTGAAGGTAAAAATAGCTTTGGAAACCGGATGAGATGCCTGCTGTCTCCTCAGTAACCTGGGCCCCAGAGGGCGCTGACCAGGGCTACGGACCAGTTAACTGTTTTGAAGGAAGAGCCAGCGCATTGGTTTCACAGTAAGACTGAGGGGAAGGGGGACATGTTATGATTAAAGCTGTTCTCTTGGTAGCGGATGGGTCATGCAGCTCTTTCCAAGAGCAGCGGTGGCCCCACTGAGTCAGCGCTGCCAGCCCTCCCATCTTGGGCGGGGCGACTGCAGGGCGGGGCGGACTGCAGGGTGGGGCTGGCTGACTGCAGCACTGACCGTTGGTTGCTAAAGCAGCAGTTCAGGGACTTGAACCTGGGGTTTCCATCCCCCATCCTCATGCTCCACCCCCTCTTACCTCCTCTTGCAGGAGGGGGTGGGACTCTTGCTTCTAGCTTGGGTACACTTTTCACTGGAGGGCCTGGGGCCTGGGGCTAAGAGGCAGCAGGGTCCTCTCTGTGCCCCAGGCAACCTCCTCCTGCATCTGAAACACTCATTTATTTGTTCACCTGTCTCTCTACCTGGGATAAGAACTGTGAATCATTCTGTTCTATCCAGAAACACTAAATAAGTGTTTGCTAAATGACTGGAATGAATGAATCAGGTGTGATCACCCAAGTCTGGGGTGCAAACCTGGTAGCTCAAGCTGGGCAGGAGGACAGGAGAGCTGGGAAGGGCCGGGAAAGGGGCCCAAAGGGGGCTGCCTCTGAGCGAGACAGTCGAGTACAGAGAAAAGCACATTCCATACGCAGAGGGAAAATATGCGTCCTGCTAAACAGGTCTGGTCAGACCCAGACGTGACTTCTCTTTCTCTTTGCACTCTTGTGTTTCTTGTGTGGGTCCATCCCCATTTCTACTTCATGCCTCTTCAGCTCTGCTCTCTCACTGTGAGCTCCACGGGATGTAACTACCTCCTGTTCACTCATTTTTTATCGAATCATTTTATTCTGATACCTGTGTATTTCCTGTTTGCCTGGACAATAGGTCTTTAAGAGTGGAGGTTCGGAAGTCCATAGTCTCTCTGTGTAGTTTTCTCTACAGAAATGATTCTGGACTCCACAAATGTAGAGAATTCAATTTTCCGTTTCCGGAGCTCCTACACTTTGCATGTCCTGGTCATGTGTCAGAGACAGACAGACACATACACACACTCACTCCACAGTGCTTGCCTTTGGGAAGTTCCCCAGCTAATGGCATACTATTTAAAAAGATGTCATTACCTTTAGTTAATTGTGTTTGTTTCTTTTCTCACTAGATTGTGGGCTCACTAGATTGTGGGCTCCTAGCACCCTGCCCCATTAGAGGCTGCTTAAGAATCAGTGAGAATGAAATTGATAATAAAGTCAATTTCGATGCTCCCAGGAGTAGTAGGGAAGCAGGAGGCCTCCTTACAGAAGTCCTGCTCCTGAGCAATCCCAAATGTTTGCTCTGGACCCATGCCCAGATCTAGTCCGAAATTTTACAAAGGATCTTCTAAAGAGCAAGAGGTTTGAGTTACTTTGCTCATCCGTACTGTCGTTTTCTTACAGCCCACCCAGAAAATAACTGGCAGGGTGTCAGTAAAAACAAACATCTATTCTTTCAAATGTGTTTGAGGTTTCCTTCCTTTTGCTTCAGAGATTTTGAAAAGAACCCCCTCCTTTTTTTTTTTTTTTTTGAAAATTAAACCCAGAAGACATTCTTGAACTTGATCCCCAAAGGAAATGAAGAAAAAGGGACTTGGGGCAATGGACCAGGCTGTGTCTCCAACCATTCAGCAAACATAAAACTCGCCCAACGAGAAAGTGGGCAGCAAAGGAAAAGTTCCAGGTGCAACCCAATAGGAAGAGAGAAGGCAGAAGCCTTCTTCACCCCAATGGTGTACACCCATCTCCTATTCCTTAATCATCCTGAACGGTCAAACAATAGCCACTGTGACAACTGGTATTAAATCCACTGGCGGGTTGGGTGGTAGTTATTTAGTGAAGGGCTAGGAAGTGCTGAACATTGTCAGAAATAAGTAATTCGTTCTTGTTGCTTTTGGTGCGATATTCCCAAATTGTTGTGTTTCCAAGAAAACCAAAAGCTTAAAAAAGATCCTAAAACTTCCGGCAGTCCAGCTTTCCCAGCACTCTGAGTGCTAATTTGTACATTATAGCCCTGAAAAGATTCCATTGTTCTCCCCAACTTTAAAAGACTGGGCTGTAGCCAAGGGCATACCAAGTGGGTAGTGCTCTTAAAAAGTCACATTTTTTTGGAACTGTCAGTGGAAAGCAGGGAGGCACCCAGTCTCAGCTCCGCCCCGGCCGAGGCCTGCTTTCACCGGGGTTGCTGCTTGAGAGGCTGGCCAGAAGCCAGGCCTGGGAGGAAAAGGCTCATCTGATGTGGTATGCAGGAAACATCAGGGAAGAGCATCCATCACCTAGAAATCAGGATGCTTTGTGCCCAGTGGACTCTCAAGAAAATTTGAGGAACTGGAATAAGAAACTCCAAAGGGTGGATCAGGGACCGTGAGGAAGGTAGCTTTGGGCTGTCGAGGAAGGTATATACCATTTAGAAGAGGTGATTAAGTAGACACTGGACAGGAATCTGTGGGGGCAGGATTGACGAAGAAATTTCAAATGAGTTCTATGAACTCATTCCTGCGCCAACCCCTGGCCTTCGTTATCTTTTGCAATTTGCCGAAACACGTTGGAGGCAAAGATCTTTGAGAGGGTGTTTCCATGAACCTGGCCTCACCCGAAATGCAGGATATAAAAAATCCATTGCTGCAGGTTGAAACTCAGACTGGCTGCAGGGGTGTGTGTGTGTGTGTGTGTGTGTGTGTGTGTGTGTGTGTGTGTGTGTATGCGCGCGCGCAAGCCATGCTGGGGTGGGGAGTGGAATTCTGCAACTGTAAGCCTCTGAACAGAAAAGCTGCCTCCCCAGCGAAGCTGACGCAGCCTGCCAACAAGCGTAAGGCAGATAACCCAGCAGCGGTCTCATGATGGCCTTGCCCATCTAATTGCTGCCCTCATCCATAGTTCAACTAAGAGAGCCCTTCTCTCCTTCAGATTGCCAGCCAGTCCTGGTGTGACTCACTTCCTCTTGGAAAATGCCCTCTAAGATGGCACAGTTCCCCTTTCCCTTCAGGGAGTGTTCTGTCCAAACCATATGCCGAGAGTAGCCAGACCATCAGGGCCACACCCACATGGTCTCAGAGCTGAGTCACAGGCCTCCATCCACTCGCAGAATCCTGGAGCCCTTTGTGCTAGCCACGCCCTGCAGAATGCTCCCAGCTCCCCACAGAGAGAAGGGGTGGGGGTGGGTGGGCCTAATGAATTCCAGAGTCTGGCCTAAAGCTGTGCAGGGTTTGGCCCCCAGCCCTCAGCGGGTCTCACCACTCCCACCCAGCGGGCAAAGTCCTGGTTTCAGTTAGGTGGGGCCCAGCTGAGGCTGGAGAGTGCAGGGTCCAGGGCTGGAGGAGGTGCTATTCTTTTGGCCAAGTTCAAGTGTGACCAGGTATCCAGCACATCTGTCTCATTTGCACTGGGCCAGATTAATCTGGGTTGGAAGGTCCTTCGCCAAGACTGTTCTTTCCCTGTTTCTTTTTAGTTCCATTTGTTTGATTGAGGTAGCGAGAGGGGGAAACCCTTTCAGTAGAGAAATCACTTAACACGGTCCTCTCCCCGCCCCCTCCCGCTGCAAAACTGCTTTATAAAGAAATCAAATAGACCTCCCTCCCTCCCTCAGCAGTGAGAACCTTCACGTCTAGCAGACAAACAGGAAGCACAACCTGAAGCCTCAGGGCCAGGGGCCGAGTGTCCCTTAGGAAGGGTATCCGCCAGCTGCCAACCTGCCCAGCCCTCCCCAGCCGACCGCAGCCCTCCGGAGCCTGCTCTGGCGGCCCAGGCGGGGGAGGATTCGAACAGCTGGACAGAGGTCAGCCCGCAGCTGGAGCCCACAAAAAAGCATGCCGCCAAGACAAGGGGCCAAAAGCAGGGGTTCGTTTAACTGGGGAGACCGGTGGAAAAGTAGGCAAGTGGGAGTAAAGCAAGGGAGGAGAGCTCGGACCCCGGGGCACCAACACCGACCTCCTGTAATAAAGGGCGAGCCCCCCTCCCCGGGTCCGCCGGAATCTGGGGAGGGTCGCGCCAGGGCGCTGCTCGCCTCGCCCGAGTGTGGCCAGAGCACGGACTCCCCGCATCCTTCCTCCCTCCCAGGCGCTGGGAGACCCCGCGAAGCCTGGCGGGTGGGCCGGAGCGGCGATCAGGGGCTTTCCCTGGGCGCCGGGTCCCGGTCCGGGTCGGGGACAGCCGGGAGCGGCGGGCCGGACTCACCTTGGCTGGAGGCGCGGCGGGATCGTCGGCTGCTGGGAGGCTGCTGGGACGCACGGCCAGTGAGCCGAGCGCTGCGCGCGGGGAGCCTTAGTAGGTGGAGGGCGGTGGAGCAGGAAGAGCCGGGGCGGGTGTCTCGGCCCCTCTCCTCCCGCCTCTTCCTGCCCCCCCTCCGCCCCGGGCGCAGCGCTCACACCCTGCTCGCCCCGAGGGTGCGTAGGGACCTTGCTCTTGGCCTCCGCCCGTTCCCAGGGACAACATTACCGTAAACTTCCCCGCCGCCAAGCGAGTCCTCGGGAATGTCTCCGGACTTCCCCACCCTCGGCTGTGCCTTTGCTCTCGGGCTTGGTTTTAGAGAGAGAGAGAGAGAGAGGAGAGAGAGAGAGTGAATGCGGAAATCAAAGGATCCCGCGGTGCTGCTGCTGCGGGCGGGGCGCGCGGGCCCACAACCAGGTCGAGGAATTCTTTTCTAGATGACACTGCAGGGAGGGGCCCGCGGAAGGCCGTCCTGGGCGTCCTCGCGGTCTGCGCCCGGGGTCTGGCCCCAGGTCCGCGGGCATCTCTCGGAGGAGCCGAGCTCATAGCCCCCTGCCTGCCCCGCGCGGGTGGGGAGGGAGGGTGCCGTGGGTCTGGTCAGCTCCGGGGGCCTTACAAACCCTTTGTGGAGAGGGATTTATTCCTTTTAGCGTGTCTGGCTCCTCTGGGTCCCAGTTCAGTTACAGTTGTTGATACCGCTAAGACCTGTTTCAAAGCTTCCTTTTTGTCCTGCATCTGGCCTGTTAGGTCCTCAGCGCCCTTTGGAAGAAATTTCTGGAAGAAATTTAGCGAAAAGCCGAAGTGTTTCCTAGCGGATGCATATCCCTCCCCCTTCCATTTATTTTGTGGTTTAGGGTGAAAGGCAAACTACTCGCAGCTGTTGGAGGAAAAGGGCCCAGTGTCCAGGCCTGGGTTTTCCTTTGTCCCCCAGGGAGACCCTGGGAGGAGTGAGTGATCCCAAAGGAATGAGCAGACTCAGGGAACCCTTCAAGCGCTGCGATGTGACTCATCTGGGCTCTTTCTTGCCAGGAAATCCCCACTTGGATCACAACTCTCATTCCTGCAGCCCTGGTGCCGACTGTTCTGGGGAGCAGGTCTTCCAAATCTTCCCGTTGCTTCCGAGTTCTTTCCAGGCCCCAGGTTACAGTCAAGAGTGGAGAGAGTCCTGGATCCCTTTAGTTCCAGGGAAAATGCAGCCGGAGTTAGAATAAGAACGCCTGAGTCTGAATAGGCCGTGTTTTATTTCTTCATTTGATTCACAAACCTTTGGAATGCTTAGTATGTGCTGGGCCCTTGGGATTCAGTCACTCCTCTCAAAGAGCTTCAAGTCTTGTTGAAAGATAGATACGCAAACAATTAAAATCCATGAGTTCAGTGAATGGTAAAGAACACTATAGGAGCCCCGCCCGTGTTGCTCAATGGTTTGAGCATCGGCCTATGTCATTGCGTGTCATGGCTACCAGGTCGGACGGTTGCTTATGACCGGAATCAAACCCGGGACCCTTCAGCCCTCAGGCCAATGCTCTATCCACTGAGCCAAACCGGCCAGAGCTTGATGTGATTCTTAAATTGTGATCACACTGATTTTAAAATGATGTATTCTATTTTGTCTCATAATACTTTATCTTGACTGTTTTCATGTCATTAAATAGTATGTATTCATTCATTTACTTTTTTTTGGTTAATCCTCACCTGAGGATATTTTTCCAGTGATTTTTAGAGAGAGTGGAAGGGAGGAAAAGAGACAGAAAGAGAAAGAAACATCAATGTGAGAGAGACACATTGATTGGTTGCCTTCCGCACTCACCCTTTCCAGGGCCAGGGATGAGCCTGCAACTGAGGTACGTGCCCTTGACTGGAATTGAACCCAGGACCCATCAGTCTGGGGGCCAATGCTCTATCCACTGAGCCAAACCGGCTAGAGCTCATTCTTTTTTTTTTTTTTTTTCTTTCCATTCAACAAATAATGATTCAACTACACTGTGGTCTCTCTCTGTCTTTTCCAGCCTTCTAGCCATACTCCCAGGCCCTAGTGACTTTGGTGCTACAAGATGGAAGGGACCTGAGTTTCTGAAACACTGCTAAGTGCTGAGGATACAGTGGTGAAAATGGTCAGCAGTATGGACCCTGCTCCTACCCTCATGCAGCTTTTGATCATTTTATGTACTTTTTTTTTTATGTTGAGGCAGCGAAAATTCTGTCTCTGCCAGTAATTTATTTAGCACAGGTTTGCCATGGGAATTATAATAATTTTACAAACCAATAGCATACAGGATAATATTTTCTTAGGGTAGATCCCTCTTAACTAGAGGCCTGGTGCATGGATTTTTGCACCAGTGGGGTCCCTCGGCCTGGCCTGCAGGGATCAGGCCGAAACCAGCTCTCCGACATCCCCTGAGGGGTTCCAGATTGCGAGAGGGTGGTTCTCGGGTGATGCACCCCGGAATTGGGCTCCCTCCTTTCTGGTTCCTGGTGTGTCGCCCGAGAACTGCAGCTGCCAAGTCACTACAGCTCAGCAGCTCCTGCGTTGAGTGTCTGCCCCTGGTGGTCATTGTGTCTCATGGCTACTAGTTGGATGGTTGGATGGTTGCTTAGGCTTTTATATATATAGGTAAGCCCCCAACTCCAAACAAATCACAAATTAAACACACTGTTGTTCTAGGCAAGGGAAGGTGAAGAAATGAAGTCCAAATCGAATATGAGGTGTACCTTCTTACCAGAGGAGGCACTTGGGAGAATCAGTGACCAACCTGCCAGGGAAAAAGTCTCATGTTGCTAGAGCACATTACTAGGGAATGAAGATACCAGTGTGTATGTGTGTGTGTGTGTGTGTGTGTGTGTGTGTGGCAGGGGCGGTGGGGGGGGGGATCTCTTTCACAGGCTGCTGTGGGGAAAATCTCAAATAGTCGTCACAAACTCTCAGTATTTTTATGTGTTTTTAAATTGATTTTAGAGAGAGAGGGAAAGGGAGAGGAAGAAACATCGATAGGTCACCTCCGCATGTACCCCAACTGGGGATCAAACTGGCAACCTGGGCATGTGCCCTGGCCGGGAATTGAACTTTTCAATCAGCACCAGGGTTGCTCAGCAAACTGAGCCACACAGGCCAGGGAAAACTCAATATTTATAGTGTAAATGTCCCTTTGCCAATGTTGCTTCTCTACTGGTTCTTATCATAATCTCATGGGGCCACTTAGCAACGAGGCTGCTGACTGCTTATCACAGCAGATGAAGAATGATGACATCGAGGCATGACTGACTTCCTTCTTATATCAAAATAACTTTTTTTGTCTTTGCCATAAACAAGTACAGTAAAACTTCCCCTAAGTCAGAAACAAGTGTATTTGAAGTCATATTCAACCAATACTCAACAGTACTGGTAGGTGCATAAAGCTCCAAGTACCTCCATGCCTGTAATCTCTCTGTGGGAGAAGTGGTCCCAGGCACTTCTTTCTGCAGGAAGCAGTTGTGTGCCTCGTAAACCACACGCACACCGTGACAGCTCTGCTTCCCTGGTGACAACTGATCAGACCAGGGACCGGCGGCGCCTGAGCCAGAGCTGCCCAGCTCTGGGGTGGCAGGTGGTGAAGGAGAGATGCACAGAGAGGAGCAGACCAAATGGCACAAAGAGGAAGTGGCATTCAAGTTCTCCACCATGCCCGTGGTACATCCCAGTGTACAAAACGCGGGAGCAGGAGGCATTGTTCTACGAACGAGGCCCGCTTCTCCATTTGGCATAGCAGCAAAACCCATAACCCCATGGTTTTCATTTCTTTTGGGTTTGTGGTTGCAGCAAAGAGGTGAGCTTGTCCACCAGAAATGTGTGTTCTTCCCGTCACAGTGTAGAGGTGTCCTTGGGGAGTGGCTGCTCAGCCGGGGATGTGTTCCTAGCAGCCCTTGCGCCTCAGGTGGGACTGGAACTAGTCACCAGCAAATGGGACTGGAAGTGATATGTGTCCCTTGCAGGCCAAGGTGATTAAGAGGTGACTTTTCCACGTTCGTTCTATCTGTCAGACTCTGAGGCTCGAGGGGTGGGAGAGCCTGGGTTCCTGAATCACCTCTCTTGGCCTAGTTACACGGGTGAGAAAGAACCCCAGATTTGGGGGGTTATCTGCTACGGCATGACTCTAATGCATAGGATGGCGTTCTTTTGTATGTATTTTTGGCAGCACGCTCAAAAGGATTAAGTTGCATGAATAGCCATTATACTACTTTACTGGTCACATGCGCATGGTGACACTGTTTGAGTGGAAGGATTTACTGCCCTGGTCATCCTCTCTGACATATGCTCACAGGTCCCGGCAAATGCATACGGTTTCTTAGTTTCTTCATGTGTGTCACGTTGTGCCATGCAGTCTAGCTCAGCAGTCTGTCTGCCCAGACATTATGTGCACGTGAGAATCACAGCTGTAGCAAAGGGTAGAGTTCTCCAACAATTCAGGAGCGCTAGTAGGGAGTCACCGCCTTTGCCCACATGTTTATTTTCTTAGGGTAGATCCCTATTGGGGGCTATCTTTTTGTTTGTTTGCTTGTTTATATGGATCTTACAGGACAAGTAGGGATTAGCCTTTCTATGGGGCAGACAGGAAGGAGAGCATGTGCCGGAACATGGAATTGGGAGGGAGCGTGTCTATTCTGGGAACTGCCCCAGTTCTGCAGGGGGAGAGAGCAGAGTCCCTCAGGGTTTGGGTGAGGCTCAGCCTGAGAGGAGGTGCCTTTCCTGGGGCCCCTGGATATACTCGGCTAAGGAGCTTGGAGCTCGCTTCTGAAGGTGACTAGGAGCCACTGAAGTGTAGAGAGGGAGTGTGTGACTCCTCCACTCACCAGCTGTGTGGCTCCAGGCACGTCGTCTCCCCACTGTGGACCTGAGTCTCTTTATGGATAAAATAAAGACAGACCCCTACCTGCTGGGGCCCGGAAAGAGAAGAAACCAGCTAATGACCATCAAGGCATCCGGCTGGGCCCTCGCAGGCAGCAGGATAGGGAGAGAGGATTCAGCTTCGGGGTCCCTCACTTTGCCCAGCAGAAGCTTTAAGGAGGCAGAGCAAGGTCTCTGGCTGTGATCTGTGGGCAAACACTTTTGAGCAGACTTCCCTCTGGGCCCTAGGCACCTGAGGGCTCCAC